AGGGAGGGAGGGAGGGAGGGAGGGAGGGAGGGAGGGAGGTCCTCTTCGAACCTCTGCTTTGTTAGACGGGCATTTGGCATGCATGGCGAGGATGCAGACGCGGAGGGTGAGGGTGGAGCCTCTGAGGTACATCTGCAACGAAGGACGTGAGGATGGAGCAGCGAGCTCGCGGCGCTGCCTGGAGGAGAAGGTCGGATGGTAGCGCAGGCTCCATCCGCAACCAGTTCTGCGGGAGGGACGGGAGGGCCTGCGCATGCGGGTCAGTGAGGCTCGAGGGGGCAGGAGAGAGAGACGCCACCCTAGTGCTCCAGTCGTTCAGCTCAGTCACGGCCTTGAGCAGCAGCTCGACGATGTCGGAGCATACCTGCGGGAGGATGAGTTCTTCCCTCTCAGGGCCCCGAGGAGGAGGAGGGCTGGGACGTACCTTGGTGATCTTGCGCATGTAAGGGAGGAGCTCTCTCCATGTCGGATCACCTGCTCCCTCCAGGTGGGGCAGGTGAACGAGCATGCCTCCTGCCCTCTCGATGTAGTGGAGCGCGTCCTGGATCTGCCGGAGGGTGTAGGTGAACTTGTGCGCGATGGTGAACTGCATGTTGCCTCCCTTGTTGTACTTGGGGAACCTGACGTTCACGTCGAAGTCGTGGACATGGCAGTCTGAGATGCGCAACGAGCCGACCACAGTCTTGTCGTCGCTCTCGAGAAATAGCATGCTCCCCTCCTCCGCCGCCACCAAACCCCCGTCCTTGTCCTTGTACAGCTCGGTACACTTGAGGTGCATGCTGACCTCGTTCACCATCTCCATCGCCTCCCTGCAGATCCTCTCCACGTCCTCCCTCAGGAACGTCCGCATCTCGTGCGATACCACCTCCAGCTCCCTCGCCGCTTGCTCGTCCATGCTGAACCTCTGGCCTCAGATCATTCTTAGGGGAAGCGCGGCGCGGGGAAGGGAGGAAGGGGAGCCGAGCGGAGGAGCGTGGGATGGAGCTGGACGAGGGGGGAAGAGGGGGAGGGGGGAAGAGTTTCTACTCGAGTGGAGAGGGAGGAGAGGAGGAGGGGACAGGGAGGCGGAGGAGGCGGAGGAGGCGGAGGAGGCGGAGGAGGCGGAGGAGGCGGAGGCGGAAGGAATGGGGGCAGCTGGTGGGGGAAATTATGTGGAGCTCTATGGGATCTCAAGTAGGATTCGACGTAGGTTCAATACTTTTCCTTTAGTTTTTTGTCAATTTTATTGTTTTTTATTGTTTGGTGAAGGCTGCGGCAGGGGGAGATTGGTCGGGGCAAGTTCGGCGAGGTAGGGAGGGGAAGGAGAGAGGAGGGGGGAGGGGGGAAGGAGGAGCGAGGAGGGAGGAGCGAGGAGGGAGGAGCGAGGAGGGAGGAGCGAGGAGGGACGGAAGTTGGTCTGACATGGACGCTAAGAGAGGAGGCTCGTCGAGAGAGCATGAGGAGGCGAGGGAAACGACTCAGTCGCACCCGGTCGAGCTTGTGATGGTCGCCGCCGGTTGCCATCATGCAAGGATGGAGAGATCGCCTGAAGCCCAGGAGGGTGGCGCAAGAGCCTATGGGAGACGTGAGAGGAGGGAGCATGAGGTGAAGAGGTCGCTCATTGCATGCTGTCGCAGCCCATCTCCTGCTTCTGCATGGCACAGGACCTGCTCGTCTTCACGGTAGCGTGCGAGGCTCTGGCATGACTCGCTCCTTAGCATCGCTCATGGCAGGGAACGATCAACGGGAGGGTCTGCGCGTGGAGGATGAAGGAGGCAACTGAGGTATGGGGGCATGCTCTAGATCAGAGCTGATGCAGGGCCAGCAGGACAGCAAGAGCACAGAGCTCGCGAATCTACCCGGGGAGGTGAGGACCGTCCTCGTCCTCGTCCTCGTCCTCGTCCTCGTCCTCGTCCTCGTCCTCGTCCTCGTCCTCGTCCTCGTCCTCGTCCTCGTCCTCGTCCTCCCCCCAGCCTGTCCAACGCTTTCCTGCTTTTCCTCCTGCTCTTTTCCTTCTCGTCCCTCTTGACCGCTAACTCCTTGTCAAGCCAGTCACCAGCATGGATACCTCCGCTACCCATCTCTTCTGTACGTTCGGGGACCGGTGAGACATGCTGGGAGGAGGGGGTGAGGAGAGCCGACCGTTCGCTGCTGCCTCAGGTTCTCCAAGGGATGGCGGATAGCGGACGTCGTCACCGGGGACAACTTGTACCAGCATGGCGGCGAGAGCTCGTTCCTGACGAGGTCGAGCAGGGACGGCGAGACCTTTGACTTCAAGAGATGTCAGTCTGAGGTGGGCAGAGGAAGCGCGCAGGAGCCTCCGATCACGAGGACGGCAGGCCACCCGGATGCTCAACTGCACCTTGCAGAGCAGCAAGTTCTGTCTCATCTTCACGAGAGGACAGGTGAAGGGGAGGGCTCCTTTCACTGCTAACGCATCCCCCAGGGATGGAGTCAGCTGTTTGACCTAGAGAGGTTTGTTGCCTTACCCGCTCCATCCCCTGTTCTTCTCCCCTCTCCCCTCTCCCCTCTCCCCTCTCCCCTCTCCTCCTCCTCCTCCTCCTGTTACTACTACTTCTTGTCTTCCATTGTGTCCTTCTCGCGGTACCCACAGAAGTGTCATCTCTGATGTTGATCCTCGCAATGTTTCTGCTGGGATGGAAAAGGCTCAGATTTTGATGATAAGAGGACAGAAAAACCTCCAAGAAACTCCGCATTGGCTGTAAACTTCACAACATCCCTGTGCAGTTTGTTGCGGAAGAAAAAGAGCAAGTGAAGGGAGAAGGAGGAGATGCCGGTGATGGGGAAAGCGACTTCTCAGGTGCCTCTTGTGGTTCCTGTTGCCCTTGAATGATTCCTGCACATCAGAACATGTGGACGGAAAAGTTCTGATGTCATCACGCAAGAACAGGGCGAGTGAGGAGAGGTAGACGGGCTCCTGCTGTTGACTTCCTCCCTACCTCCTTACCTCCTGTGCTCATCAACCTCTTTCCTTGTCTGCTGTCTCCCCTGCTTTCTCCTTTCTGCTTTCTCCTCCTTTCTTTCTCCTCCCTTCTTTCTCCTCCTTCTCTCCTTCACGACTGAGCATGCTCCCAGCTTCACCGGCGTTGAGGTCTGGAGCCTTGGAACCTCTTCTTGCCTACTGGAGTCGAAGATGCAGTCTTCGGGAGATGCGAGATTCTGGTGGGGATGGATGGAGGGAGGGAGGAGCGAGGGGTATGGAGGAGGAGGTGACACGGGACTGTATGGAGCAGGGAGGGAGACAAGATAGCTTATGTAGAGGGGGCCGACATCCTCGTTGCGGGCAAGGAGGGGCGAGAAGGCAAAGAAGCAGACGACATTCGCTTCTCGAGGTTGGGAGGACACACGCGTAAGGTGAGGAGAGAGGAACAAGAGGAGGGTGGGAAGGGGTAAAGAGGAGGAGAAGGGTGGGAGGGGGTAAAGAGGAGGAGGAGGAAGGTGGGGGCTAGGAAGAGGGAGTGGAGAAGGATGGGGAGGAGGAGGAGGAAGGGAAGAGACTTGACAAGATGCAGATGAGGTGCTTCGACGTCCTCCTACCTGACCTGGTCGCGTCTCTTTCCGACGATCTTGAGCTCAAGTTGTGGTGAGTTATTGAGCTGCGAGGAAGGAGGACGGCCATGATTCGCGTCCTCGTAGGAGAGGAGGGCAGTGCACCCGTAGCGTCACTCTTTGTTCGTCTATCCTCGAGCCCTTCAGGTACGGGCATGATAATTCCCTCCTGCCCTTCAATGCCCCGTCCCAGCCCCCACCCCCCTCCCCCTCCCCCCTACCAGTCCCAATCCTCGTTCCCTCCTCCCTCCCTTCCTCCTGGACTTGCTCATTCTCTCTTTCCTGTCTCTAACACCACTTGCGGCAGCTACGACATGACGAGGATCAAGGTCGTAAGTCCTTTTACAATTCTTCTCTCCTCTGGCTGCAGCCTCTACCTCCTGTCCTTCCCCTCAATATAAACAATCTAGTGTTACAACCCTCCTCCTCCTCCTCCTCCTCCTCCTCCTCCTCCTCCTTAGTGCTGCAGGTACACGTCCTCCTCCTTCTGGATAAGTTTCGCCACTTCCTTGATCATCGGCAGTCGCTCCTCCCCGAGCCGGTCGAGCACTTCACCCTGTCCATCGGTCAAGGCAGAGAACCGAAGGGTGTGAGCGAGATGGTGAGGGAAGAGAGGAGAGAAGAGGGAGAAGGTGGAAGGGGAGGGAGGGAGGAGGAACGAGGAGGGAGGAATGAGGAGAGGGAGGAATGAGGAGGAGGAACGGGTAGGAGGGAGGGAGGAGGGAGGGAGGAAGGGAGGGAGGAAGGAGGGAAGGGGGGGGGAAAGGGGGAGGAGGAATCAGTCTCACGGGGAGAGCATTAGAGCCGTCGTGACTGGCTCGAAGATTGTGATAGACGTCGAGGAAGAGGCTCAGACCGAGAGACTGCAAGCGAGGTCAGGCGGTGAGGAGGAGGAGGGAGAGGTCCAGGGAAGGTGAAGGAGGAGGGAGGAGACGGGCAGGAGGGGGAAGGACCATTGAGGGAACTCACTTGCTCGCAATTGTGCCGCATCTTCTCAATCATCTCCGACGGGATCAGCGAAGAGGAGGAAGCCATCTCCTTCTCCTCCTTCTCGACCAGCGGAGGGAAACGCTTCTCCTCTCCCTCGCTCGCTTCCTTCGCCTCCTCCGGGACGCTCATCCCCCCCAACATCTCTGTGAGCTCGGGCGAACTGCAGGAGCACCTCATCAGTCTACCACTTGCAGATCGTGAGGAACAGGAAGGGCAGGAGGGGCAGCAGCAAAGCAGAATGAGAGGAGCAAGAGAGGGAAAGGCACAGCAGGTGCAGCAGGCGAGGATGAGAATGGTGTGCCAGTGCAACAGCAGACCACGAGCGAGAGGTGGATAAGAGGGGGAGGGGGAGGGGGAGGGGGAGGACGAGGAGGACGAGGAGAAAGAGTTGAAACCTGTGCAGGTGTCGTATATCTTTGAGAGTCTTGCGAGTCTTTCCCGCAAAGCCAACCGGGAGTATCGCAGCTGCGGGTTCAGCAGGGGAAGTCCTTCCTTCTTCGTCGACCTCCCCCTGTGTTGTCTCCTCCTCATCTGGCTGGAAGTCCCGATGGGCGCCTGGCGAGCAAGTGAGGAGGAAGAAGGAGAGACAAGGGGAGCAGACCGAGAGCTTTCGGCTCCTGGATTGCCGGATACGCTGAGGGATCAGCATGATCGATTAGAGGAAGGAGACAGCAGGGAGCAGGGAGCAGGTTGATAGACAGCATGCGAACAAGGAAGATAACAAGGCAAGAGAGAGAAGGACGGAGGAGGAGGGTGAGTAAGGGAGGGAAGGAGGGAGGAGAAGCTGACCTTGCAGTCTCAGAGGCAAGTGACAAAGAACGTCGATGGAGTCTTGAGGACGCATTTCCTCTATCGTCCTCAGACCCTGAGATGGAACGTTGGAGCACACGATCTCCGTTGGAACATCCTGCAAGTCCATCATGATTTAGTAACAACAATTACATCTTCAACATACGTGAAACATCTCCATCATATATATTACCCCCCATCTCCATCATACATCAAACTTCATCGCTGATCTGCTCTACCAAGATGTTGCCTTGCAAATGATCATCGTCGTCGTCATCATCATCATCATAATCATCATCATCATCATCTCAATCAGCGTCTCAATTATCAACTTCAAGTCCGTTCCTCCCTCCTACCTGTGTGCCACTCTCCTTTCGCTGCTCTCTCCCCCGCCTGATCACTTCTGCCAAGGACATCTTCTTTCCCTTCCCTCCTTCTTCCTCAGTACTCGCGTCTGCCGCGTTACTCGACTTTTGCCCTTCACTCCCCGTCCTCTTGATCTCTGAGCTCGCGATCTCCACGTCGAACTTCAGGCCTCCTTTCTTCTGCTTGAATTCCGACATCTCCCTCCCCCCCTTCTCCTCCTCCTGAGCCACCCGGTCTCCGCTTCCTTTGCTCGCGTGGTTGCGTGGAGAGAAAGGCGAATCGCCCAGAGAGATTTTTGACCTGACCGCCTGCAAGCACAACAAGTCAACACATAGATGTCAAGCCTTGTCTATGATCCTTCCACTTGTAAACCATCATCATTGTCGTCGTCCTCATCACCATCATCATCACCATCATTATCATATCAGTAATCGGATTACAGCGCATCGCCATCGCCATCACAAGGCTTGAGATAATATAGGCATCTCACTCTCAACTTCTCCTTATGCTCTTTCTGCCGCAGCTTCATATCTTCCGCAGAAAGGACGGGGTTGCTCCTGCCCTTGTTTACTCCGACTGAAGTCTTCTTCGCCTCCTCCTTCTTTCCGCAGGCGTCGCCTACCCCTCCTTTCTTGGGTGCTTTGGAGGGGTTCGACATCCTCCGATTCCCGTCTGATTGGCCAGCATCCCCTGTAGCTGGAATCCTCTGATTTTGCAGCTTCTTTGCTAAGTTTGCTCTGCACAGGAGAGTTCAAGGAGTGCGAGGGAGCAGAGGTGTTCGTTACCTCCTCTCCGCCTCTGCCAGAGCTCGAGCTCGCATCTCTCGTCCTGAAGAGCAGGCACTGTCTCCCTGCTCGGAAGCCGGCTTCTCTTCTCCTCCGCTCCTCTCGCCTCCTTCATGGTGCTCGAAGTTCCACTGATCCGACTCCCTCTTCCTCAGCGCTCTGCAGAAATCGCATCGAGAGCACGTCAGAGGATGAGAGGGACGGGGGCTGAAGTGAAAGGACGGAGAGATCAGGACCTGTTGATAGGAGGACGAGATCTTGTTTGTGGAGAGAGCAAAGCTCCATCTGCATCCGGATCACGATCACAGTGGAGAAAAGAGCAGAAGAAGAAGGGAGGAGGAGGAGAAATGGTTAGCTACAGGAGGGAGGAGGGAGGAAACGAGGACGATACCGTCGTTGAAATGATGTCGTCCCTTTGGACCCTGCTGCATTTGACATTCAACAGTCAAGTGCACGACAACTTCACCTGAGCTGCTCACCTTGTCTCCAGGCACGCCCATCCGTGACGCGTCCTCGCCCTCCCCGTTGAAGTCGATGCTCATGCAGACGTTCTGATCTGAGTCGTAGTTGTCCAAGAAGAAGGGAGGGCGGAACACTTTCCCATCTCCCTCTTCCTCCTCTTCTCCCTTTTTCTTCTGCGCTGAAGCAACCTACAAGCACATGGTGAACAGTGTAGCTTCTAAAAGGGCAAGCTTACATCTTCCCTCCTTCTTCCTTGTAGATCATCTTTCACCTGCATTGACACCTCAGTCAAAAAAGCTCCTCTTCCACTCTCCTCGCCCCACCCTGTCTATCCTTGCATGCATCTCCGCCATCCATTCGGCAGGAGACATGTTGACCTTTCCCCCCAAAGAGAATCTCTCATTGCACTTCATCCTCGAGGAGGGCGACTGCAGTTCGTTCCTCCCGTCATTGACATCATGAGACCCCAGAGACTTCCGTGCTGACACCTTCACCGGCTGCTGCTCAGTCTCTCCCTGCCGCACCTCCTCTCCCTCTCTTGACTGTCTCCATTTTCGATCAGAGTGAACGTGGTTCCTTGGCTGGGCCTGATTCGCCTTCTTTGCCTTCTCATCGTTCCCTTCACTCCTCCCACCCCGCAGGCCGTTGAAATCCAACTTGGGGATGCGAGCGCGGGCTGGCGCCCCGTTCTCCTTCTCGAATTCCGAGACCTGTCTTCGAGAATTCTCCTCTTCGATCTGAACCTCATTCTGCTGACCCTCCCCTCCCTCCTCCACGTCCTTGTCCGACAGGCAATCCCACGTTGAGGTATGGGAGGAAACGTAGCCTTTGAGGAAGCTGAGAGTGAGGATGCTGGCTATGCTCGGCCGAGCAGCAGGGCTGTTTTGAAGCATGGAATCGACCAATGAACGCACTTCCCTGCTGTAGGAGCTCGAGACAGGAGAGAATTTCCCGCGGATGATCTTAAGGATCAGAGCAGAGAGAGATTTCGCCTCGAAGGCGTGTCGGAGTGTCAGCAGCTCGTACAGGACGCAGCCCAGGGACCAGATGTCGCTCTTGTGGTTGTAAGGGCGATCTTCACATATCTCAGGGGAGAGATAGTAGGGGGTGCCTGCGGGGAGAGAGTCAGACTTCAAAGGCAAGGGCAAGTCGTCGCTACCGATCATGGTCTTGGCCATGTCCGTCTCCGAGCTCATCACTCTTGCGATACCAAAGTCTGCAAGTTTGATGATTCCTTGCCTGGTCAGGAGAATGTTTGCAGTCTTGAGATCTCGATGCAAGATGTTCTGAGAGTGCACATGATGCATACCAAGACAAATCTGAACGAACAAGTCCAGGACGCGCTCCTCCTTGAAGGGCCTTCCTCTCGCATTGTGCAGCAGCTGTGCTAAATCTCCCGCATCCGCGTATTCCATCAGGATGTTGAGGTTCCCTCCCTCAATGAACGCCTGTGATATTGTCATGGATAATTCTTCTCCGCCACGTGTTCCACGACCTCATGCATACTGATGATGTTCGGATGCCGCAGCTTCTTCAAAACTTCAACCTCCTGGAACATCATGAGGCTCCACGAGGAGTGAAGGCATTCTCGGCCCAATATTGAGCGATACCTTCAATGCTTCTCTCCTGTCCTTGTCTGAGAGTCCTTTCACATTGATCTCCTTCACAACAAACTGTGTTTCCCGTGGTAAGTCTCGATGGAATGCAACAATTCAAAAAGATCTACCAAATCTTGAGAATCAACGTGTTGGACAAGAGTAGCAGACCCCATTGCACCCTAAGAGACGTCAAAAGGTCGACAATCATTCACCATTATCTTACCTCTCCGATCTTTTTGATTCTGGAGTAAGCATCCATGGTGGTGCTGATTATTCACTGTTCGACACGGCGACAAACACGTAGATTTTGGTTGCAGGCCTTATCTAGCAGAGGGAAGCACTCGTACAGAGTAGATGATATCCACGAGAAATGAACATCCAGGCACTATCTCACTAAAGACTGAAGAAAGCTTCCAGATTCATGATTTCGCCTGCCATGCCCTTGTAAGATCTTCAAGATGAAGACTAGAGTAATCTATACACCGGAACATTCAAATTTAAATCCCTAAACAAACGCATTCTATCTGGCAGCACAGGATATCTCTAAAAGATATTGCTTGATCGCTGAAGTTCCAGTGAGACGAAGGCTTTTCAATTGTAACTTCAGTTCTCTCTGGGAGGATGATGTTCTTGAGGGTAGCGCTGTCATCAGGACTTCTCTCCCATCACATACTCCCCCCTCACAGACTCTCTCATGCTCTCTCGCCAATGGTATCGTCGTTAATCCTTCACCACCACACCAACTGATCACCTGCCATGGCGCAGGGTTTGAATCGTCGGGGGGTGGACTAGAATTCGGGGTGGTCAAAGCGATATGAGGGGGTGGGTTATCTTTTCCTACAGTAACTAAAATGTCGATTTTGAAATACCTACTCAGCTAAAACATTTCAACATATTTAGACTAAAATTATCACTCACTAATGCTATTATACAAGAGTTCATGAAGAGGTCAGGGTGGTAATATTTCGTCTGCTTCTTGCACCATCCTGAGCATGCAGCGAGGTAAGTCCGCGATGGCTAGGGAGACGGAGGGAGCGGCGAAGATGGTTTGGTAGGAACTTGCGAGGATTACTCAGCCCCTCTATAGCCCCGTAGGTTCCTAGCATACACAATCAGGTTTTCTCCATGAGTGTCGAACGACACGTTGCCTGTACTTTTGCATTTTCCTGGCAGACAGGTTCTTGTATATAACCTGGGGTCTGCATTCACAGATGCATACAGCCTCGGCGGGGACTCGATTTCTTGCTGTTCTCGATGCAATGGAACTGCAAGCGACTATCCGCAGACATTCACTTCGCCTTCAACTGATTGTTTGCAATATGTGTGCTCCCTCTGTTTTGGTATTCGAATGGATTCCCTCCTTATATTTGATCCTCATCCCGCATCCTGTCTTTCCTTGGTATAGTACTGTCCTTACTCCTGCACTCTTCCAAACAAACTTGTAGTGTCCTCTTGACCTCCACAAAAGTGAGTGCATGTCACAAAGATAGTTGAAATAATAAGAGTCCTAGCTTTGCAAATTCCGATCCATAAGGGGTGGAAAGCTCCTGTGCTATATACAACCAGCACAAACTCAATTTTGACCAATCAGCACTGATCCTTGTGGCAGGCGTTGCACGGCGACTTTTGATTAGATAGATGCTGTGCTCCCCATCAAACACAATGCATTTCGATTGAGGATTTCTGTAGACTTAGTTCTGTGCAATATGTAAAACGCAGTGTAAATTGTTCACAAGAATGAGTGAATACTTCTATAATCTTCCGATATGTAAGCACACCATTGAAGCTCAGAGGGGAGCAAGAATCATGTGTTCCATCTTCTGACCAGGATGAGGGCCATCCAAGTCTGATGAGTGTAGACTGCAACATATAACATCATTTCGCTATGATGGGGCAATTCTACAACCGTGATAGTTCGAGCCTCAAAGAAATGTTCGTGCTAGGTCTCTCGACTGAAGCTCGACGGCTAAAGAAGGAATGGATATCTGCTTGAACACAAAACAAGCAATATGCACATCCACCGTTTGTATTCACAACTGTCTATATTTTAAGAAAACCAGAAATGCTCATCAGGATTCAGTAAAGACCACCGGGACCCTGTCTAAGAATAGGCATTTGCAAACACCTGAATACGAAACTGTGGCCCAACAATAATCTCATGAATCAACATAGCAAGCTTCCTTTTCAAGCCATTGCAAGAACCGAGCTCCATTTTGCCTTACCATTCAGAGGCACCAGCATACTTGACAGGGCCGTTGGAGTTCGGTCCGAGGATCTTCTCCAAGCAGTGCTTGGACTCCATCTCAGTTCTCAATGATGAGGTGCAAAATTGAATCGCGAATGCCCTCTGTCGAAACCAGTTAGACAACCGTTGCCACCAGACAGTACTAGACATGTGCAGCAACACGAACACAAAAACTCTACACATCTTAATCAAGCATTTATAATGAACTTCAGTGTTGAAAAGTTTGCAATGCAAAATTTATGGATACATCAAAGATGGTTCATAAATGACAATCAGATGGATAAACTCAACAAAATGATTGCACAACCCAAGTTTCTCCTTTACCTTGAGATGAATGTCTAGCATGTAATCTGATATGAAAAGTAGCTCGATCCAAAGGTGAAGGATATAACAAGAAGGAGGACATGTGTGTTTTTGTTTCAAGAAAGACATCGGCCATCCATGGATTGTAAGGCAGCTCGGGCAGGAACAGCACCAAGTGTCGTATAGTGCCAACATGTACAGCAACACAAGAACAATTCATGCGATAGAGCATTCTAGAATATCTTCTAAGAGCGTTTGAAGCAAGCACTTTCATGGTCTCACCTGAGCGCGAGAGGACATCGTGTCGAAGGTGAGCTGGGTTTCGAGGAGGGACTGGAACATGGCGGCGGTGGCTCTAGGTGGACGGAAATAGATCAGACCAAAGAATAAAAAAGAACGGTTACGACGGTTATACCCTCAAGTTTGAAAGTTTCTATTTGGTGGATTGTGAAGTTTGAAAGCAACCTTTGTAGGCCAGATCTGGGTACCCTACCCATGAAAACATATTTTATACCCTACCCCATATATAGTTATGAGGCTCGTGGGAGGGGTGGGGTGGGATGGGGTAGGGGTCGATGTTGACAGAAGGCAATGTGGGTTCAAGTGAAGGACTAGGGTGGGATGGGGTGGGGTGGTAGCTAGGAGGAGTGGTAGGTTGTGGGTACCACCAGTGCGGCAGTAGCTAAGCAAAATGGCTGCTACGAAGGTAAGAATTGAGGGAGGAAAGAAGGAGGGACCGAGAGGAGAAAGGACGAAATGATGGAACGATCATGATTTGATTGAATAGACATGTATGCTTGTCAAGAGTTCATGATCACTTGATTTGGAGGATTTCCAAACATGAGGGTGTTGACTAGCAAACAAAAGATCGTGTTCCATGTGAATAGCATGGGTAAGTGACAACTTCCTTTCATAGGTTGATGAGCAAGGATACAAGCTTATCGCAAAGTGGAATGGAAAGAAATATGACCTTGACGTGCATAAGGTATATCTCTTTCTCAGGGATCAGAGAAACTGACTGAATTCAGGAATACACTGTTGGGCAAGTGAGAAAAATGCTTCAAATGCTGACTTGTGTACAACCAAAACGACAAAAGATCATTGGATTGGGGAAAAAATCGAACTTAGAAGACGATGTGACATTAGAATCTCTGCAGTTGAAGAATCCACATTCGTTCATGATGGTATCTTGAAGATTGCTGGAATACTAGATTCTGATATGCGATCCAGGTTGGATGTGCGGATGAAGACGTTATGCTGGATCAGTCTCAAATAGATGCCATGCCACTTGTTGTGAACGATCTGGACTGGAATTATGATCCGAGCGAATACGAGGAAATGATTGCAGATGTTGAAAATAGGCAAAAACTGCAGGATACGATTAAGAATGTGGATATCAGGTACAAGACAAAGTTTGAATTTGTCTGTCCTGATGACGTTACAGCGTTATCAACCAACCAAGAAGGGATAAGAAACTTCTCGTGCTTGATCTGGACCATACCCTTCTGCACTTCAAGAACAAGTAGCTGCAAACAACCATCAAGCCAGCTGATAATGTTGTCCCCAGGAGAACATACAAACGACCTTTCTGCTTCGAGTTTCTCAAGGCTGTATATCCCTTCTATGATATTGTGGTTTGGTCCCAGGTCTTCCATCGACGACCAATGATTGCTTGCATTGACGCGTTCGAACAGACATCCTGGAAATGGCTTGAAATCAAGCTGATTGAGCTGGACATTTTCACGGTATCGATCGAATCTTGTATTCTGATTGTGATGGTTGATCTCAAGAGCACGGACTTCTTCATCTCTTTTGTTCTCGACCATTCGGCGATGTTCACTGTTCGCTCCAAGAGAAGAAAAGGGAAAGATGGGAAATTGTGGGAGCATCAAGTCAAGGCGTTAGAAATCATCTGGCAGAAATTCCCCGAGTACTACAGCGCGAGAAACACGGTTCATGTAGATGATTTGAGGTAACATGTCCCTTGCTCTCAATCTGTGAGAAGAGATTCTGAATGCTTGCATCAGTCGAAATTTTGCTCTGAACCCAAATCAAGGATTGAAGATTAGCAAGTGAGCCTGACTGTGCTGGTGGTGATTTTGACCGTCTGATTGCGTGTTGTCTCTCAGATTTGAAAAGACCTCTGCCGATCCCAACGTCGAAGACACGGAGCTGCAAGTTCTTCAGAGGTACAGCAGCTGTCTGTTGGGAGACTGAAAGCTTTGACCGCCGTAGTGCAGATATTTGATTCACATTGCTCTGTCGGTTCCTGATTTTACAACCATCAATCACTCCGATTGGCGGAGCTTTGGAACGAGAGCGTGAGTGAAGTGAATCTAGCAGTTCACCTCTGTCATGTGAAGTCTCGCACGAAGTACGTAGTTGTTTATATCCATTCACAATGAAAGACTAGCTTCAAGACGCAAAGCTCACCCCTCACGGAGGAAAAGGGGAATAGGAGCAATCATGGATTCTCGCAGGCAACAACTCCAACAACCCTACACTTGCCTCGATCCCGAAACTCCTCTTGCCCGAGTGAGGACGAACGCACAGCAGTCTCCATCGAAGGAGAGGCGGATAGGGAGGCCGATGGACATAAGGGTCGCTCCTGACATGTGAACTTTTTGATTGCCCAGCTGCCACTGCGGAGCCCCGCCGGTCAGCTCGATCTGCCCCGTGCTGGGATTTCTCTTGGCCCTGTTGGGAAAGATCTCCTCTATGACGTAGTTCTCGTCCTCCTCCAGCCCCCGCAGCCGCAGCCGAGGAAGGTGGTGCCCTGGCTCCATCTTTGTGAGGAACACAGCAACCACCGCAGAGATCCCATGCTCCGCGCTCCCGCCGCTCGTGCACATCCAGGCGTACGCCTGCTGGTCTCGCATCCTGCATGGAGACCAGAGGCGGTAGAAGCGCCCTGAAAGGATGACGGGAGCGAGCTCCTTGTACTTGGCGATGTAGCGAGATAGCTCGTACTTGTCGCTCTCGCTGAAAGGGAAGAGTCAGTGAGAAGGGAGCTTTGACAAGCGAGGAGAGAAGAGGAGAGGAGAGGGATAGTGGAGAAGGGAGTGACTGGAGACGCGGTGTAGTCAGGAGGACCAACGGGAGGGAGGGAGCAAAGTAAGCGCAAAGAACCAGGCAAGGCAGACCCAGCAGGAAGGAAGTAATGACAAGGGGGGGCTGACCTAAGCGTCCTGACGTCCAGCTCTAGACCGAAAGTACCGAAGGTTGAAACGAGGAATCTTGCTTTGAGGGTAGAAAGCCTCTGCGTCTGATGATTAGGGACCGCAGTCATGTGCGATCCGATGCTCTGGAGGGGATAGACGAGGCTGGTGCCATGCTGAATCGCCATCCTGCTGAAAACGTCTGTGTTGTCGCTAGCCCAGATCTGAGGGCTAAAGAAGAGCATGCCGGGATCAAACCTTCCTCCCCCCCCAGAGCACGTCTCTATCCTCACATGCGGGAACTTCTCGTTGAGGTACTTGAGGACCTTGTACACTCCGATCATGTACCGGTGAAAGACTTCCCCCTGCTTGTCCGGGGCCCTCGTGTTGCCGTAGACCTCCGTCAGGTGGCGGTTCATGTCCCACTTCATGTACTCGATGTTGGAGCCAGACAGGAGCTCTCCCAGCTTGCTGATGACATAAGAGCACACATCCTCGCACGTGAAGTCAAGGACGAGCTGGTTGCGACCCTCACAGCGGCTCTTCCTCCCGTGCTGGTTCAGAGTCCACGAGGGATGCTCCTTGTAGAGCTTGCTCTTCACGTTCACCATCTCCGGCTCCACCCAGATGCCGAACTTGAGCCCGAGGGCGTTGACGTCCTTGACAAGGGCAGGCAATCCTCCGGGGAACTTCCTCCTATCCTCGAACCAGTCCCCCAAGGAGGACGTGGCGTCTTCTCGCTCGCCGAACCATCCGTCGTCTAGCACGATCATCTCAACTCCTAGCTCGCTGGCTGCCCGGGCGAGCTCGACCACTTTTTCGTGGTTCACGTTGAAGTACATCGCCTCCCAGGTGTTGAGCAGGACCGGAGGAACAGTCCCGAAGAACCGCTCGGGTATCAGATACTTCCTGTACAGGTCATGGAACGAGTGGCTCATCCCTTCTAGTCCGCTGTTGCTGTAGATCATGACGCACTCGGGGCTTTCGAACGAGTCGCCGGGAGGAAGGTGCCAGGAGAAGGTGCTGGGGTTGATCCCTGCGTTGACTCGCGCTCTTCCAGTCTCCGACACGTCTGCCTCGATCTTGAAGTTCCCCGAGTAGATGAAGGAGAACGCCCACACCTCCCCGACGGTCTCCACGAGTGACTCCGGGGTCGTGGTCACCGCGCAGAAGGGGTTGTGCTGGTGACTGCTGGCTCCCCGCAGGCTCTCCACGACGAACTTCCCCTGGATGAGCTTTTGCAGCTTCATATGCCTCTCGTTGGCCCAGCTCCCACTGAGCGTTATGAAGTTCCAACCGCTCATGGTGTGGAAGTCAACGGTAGCGCTCATCAGCTTCTCGAGGCGGACAGCTCCAGAGCTCATGATGCAGCCTCCCTTGCACACAAAGTTCCCACTGGGACGAACGCTCGGGTTCTTCACTATCACCCTCCTGGAAATCGCATTCACTTCCTTGTAGACCGTGTAGATCAGGTGGAACTCCAGCTTCGTCAGCCTGTCCTCCATCTTGACCACGAGGGTCGTGCACTGATCTTTGGTGTTCCCTCCTCTCAGCTCGGGGAGGAGAGTGACATTCTCTGAGCTCCAGAGGGACTTACCCTTGGCACTCTCCATGGGAAGTTTGCCGGGGATAATCTCGTGGGACACGTAGGTCAGGGGACAGATGTTCCCGCCATCATCGTACACCACCGAGAAGCTCTGTGGACGATAGTCGCCAGTTCCCAGGTCCGCATACTCCAGCAGCTTTGTGTTCCTCCCGACGCTCGGGATCGAGTGAACCCACTCGCTGTCCGTGGAGAGTCGGTCAGAGAAGGAAGGAGTACGGGTGAAGTGCTCCGAGAAGGAAGTTCCTCTGATGTGCTTGGCCGCATCCTGATCCGACACTTCGGTGTCGTAAGCGTTGAAGGGACCAGGATCGAAGCACAGCTGGACGTTTGAGAGCGCCAGGTACCTCAAGTCGTCATTGGGAGGAACGAAGCTCCCCCAGTACAGATGCTCGAGATCTCCCGAGTCGTCGGTCCGGAAAGCGTACAATGCAGAACGAGAATAGAGGCGGAAGATGCGTGTCTTGGGATCAAAGAGCACCTTGCCTGCTAGCTCCTTCTCTCCTCCTCCTCGAAGCCTTTGTCGCAAAGCGGAGCTATGGGTTGTTGGAGGACGAATTCGACCGTGGAATCCTATTACTGCAGAATAAGAGCCAGTCCGCACCTGTCCACCCTGGGGGAAGTAAGATCATTCAACATGGGACATTGGAGTACCTGAAGCAGCGACAGAAGACCAAGAAAATAAAAAATAACAAGATTGCGACAGCCACCACTGTCTGAAATCATCCTGCCAGCTCAAGTCATTCTGCCGTTCATTGCCAAGTCCTCTGCTAGCTATCCAGAATCTGGACATCTTCGATCCTCAACCCTCTACGAGCTTCCTCTCTCCCTGCATCTTCACGGCATGAGCTCGTGTTCTCCTCTCCCTCCACGACATCGTACCCTCCCCTATGCGGATCGTCCCCATAGAGGCTTAAATTTTAATATATACATTATTATAAAACGTCGTATGTACCAAGGATAGATTAAACTTTTAGTACCAAGGATGGCCCCTACTTTATTATATTTTAATCTTATTAAGTATTTAGTCCTTCGAAACTACTATTTTTGGGTACTTGTAACGTGTTTTGTCCTCTAGTTTTAAAACTAGATTAGAATTAAGGATTAAGTAAATTTTACGATGCGCCTGTTAGAGCCCTGAAAAATTATGCAGGCGGGGAACAATGGGGGCGAAGTGTAGAGAGCCAAGGGCGGGGGCGGGGGCGGGGGCGGGGAGAGGTTGAATGGCAAGGAGAGGAGCAGGAGCAGGAGCAGGAGAAGGGGCCAGAGCAGTAGTACGTGGGCAACCGAGACATCTACAACCGAGTAGAAAGAAAATGAGGCAACAACAGAGGCAACGAGGTTGCTAGAAATCGCACAAGGAATTCCACTAGAGTATAGAACGATAGTCGTCTGCTTGAGAAACCCTTGCTCTCAATTCAAGAAAGATTGTCGGCTAAAACTGAGATGTTTTGGAAAATCAAAGGTGTGATCCTCAGGGTAATGAGGAGGAGGTAGTTGACATACAAACTTGAATCTGTTGCCTATAGCTGACATATTTTCTGGGTTAGTCTACTCGTTTGAGGCAGAGAACGAGAATTCCAAGCTGCCATGAGTAAGGGCGAAGACTCATCTAGAGCTACCTGTGGCTCTCTTTCCGATGGCGACTTGTCCGATTCTTGTGGTGGGAAGGAACACGATGCTAAGGGTGCTGAACCTGTCGGAGAGGCACAGAAGCAAAAAGCAAAGAAGAAGCAGAGACAAAGACAAAGACAAGAGAAAGATGAAGCATTCCGAAATATGCTGGCGAAGCAAGGGGCCGTTGGGGGGAACGGTGCGGTGGAGACTCCCGGCGCAGAGGACATGGTGGGATTGGGTGGCCAGGAAATTGAGTCCACCAATCATCACAAGAAGCTTTCGAAGAATGAAATCCTGCAACAAGAGAAACAACGAAAGGAAAGAAATCGTGCGATGCAAGAAGAAAGGGAAAGAAAGAAGCAGGAAGAGGAAGCTGCAAGGTTGAAAACAGTCCCTGCAGCCAAGGATAGTTGCAACCGTATTGAAAAGTCAAGCCAAGATGTAAGAGAGCTATGGCTGAGTCATCCTATCATGACTCTTACATGTTTCAGGGAGGGCCCCAACAAAATCACTCTTGCGAAAGTGAACAAGTGCATGAAAATGCAGCCCCAGGGAACAATGGTCAGGCGAATGCCAACACGCCTCTCCGATCTCCCATCGTCTGTATTCTTGGTCATCTTCATACAGGTAATTAATGCTGGAATTACTTTTCATCTGTGCTGAAAGGGCGAATGATGTTTTCAACATGCAACAACTTATCTGAAGCTCAGTGCTGAATTGTTGTTTCGAGCTTTTTAACTCTGATGCCCTTGATTTCTGTCGCTGCTCAAAAACAATCGCAAATCCCAATTCTAACAACTTTGTCGCAGGAAAAACAAAGATGTTCAACAGGATTAGTCGCGAAGATGAACAAGATTTTGAAATGCCTGGAAACCATCAACAGGTGCAGTCTAGAACCCTGACTTTCTGATTCTTGATCATAACGTTGGTTGTCAGATAAGTACTGGCTTCCTTTCAAAAAGAACATTGCAAGAAAGACTTCAAACGATTTGGAAAGAAACGCAAGTAAACCCACACAATGACACTGCTGTGCAATTGAGAGATACGGCACAAAGATACAATGCCCTGACTTCCAATCTTGCAGGTCGATTGTAATATTCCTGGCCTGCTTCTCATAGATACTCCGGGTCACAAAAATTTTTCCAATTTACGAGCAAGAGGAGCATCATATTGTGATCTGGCGGTGAAAAACCTCATCATCATCATCATCCGCTGTTTCTGTTTTCCCTTGTTGTGCCAACTAGATTCATGAGTGCTCCGAACATACTGTATTCACTCTAGCTCGCAGGTGGTTGTAGTTGACATCATGCACGGGTTGGAGAGTGAGACCATTGAAAGTATAAAGTTGCTGCGGAAGCACAGGATTCCTTTCCTCGTTGCTCTCAACAAGATCGATCGGCTGTACGGCTGGGAATCACATCCATCCATGACAGTCAAGGAGACCATTGAAATGCAGTCGGAGGCGGTCAAAATAGAATATCAGAAGCTTTTCGAGTCTACCATCTTACAACTGCAAGAGCAGGTGATGGAATTCAACCTGAATGATTACATTCCAATCTGATCCACTCCCATTGATTTGATTCTCGTTCAATTTGCTGACGCCAAAGCAGGGACTGAATGCCAGCGTTTTCTTCGAGAACAGAAACAATCGAACTGTTGTGAATGTTGTGCCGACATCAGGATTGAGTGGGGATGGCATCGTCGACCTGCTCTACCTCCTTTTTTCACTCAGTGAAAAGATGCTGATCAACAAAATCAAGTATCAGGATGAAGTTGAGTGCAAGGTCCTCGATGTCAGGACGATCGATGGCTCAAGGACGGTTTTGGATGCCATTGTTGTGAACGGCAGGTTGAAGGAGAAGCAGAAGATTTTAGTCGGGGGTCTGGACGGTCCAATCATCACTCATGTACGGTCTCTCCTCACAACCATAGCCCCTCGGGATTCCAGGAGCAAGTTGAATTACGCTCAGAATGCGGAGGTAAAGGGTACGATCAGCGTCAAGATCTGCGCCAATGGCATAGAGAGGGCAGCTGCGGGGTCGAGACTCTACATTATCAATGATGAGCGTGAGGAAACAGCTCTGAAGGAGAAAGTGATGAAAGACCTCGACCCCTTCATCTCAAAGTTCAGGAGGGGTGGCGACGGAGTTCATATTCAGGCCATGTCATTTGGCTCACTAGAGGCCCTCTTCGACTTCCTTGACGGAGCTAACAACCATCCCATCCCTGTTTCCGGCGTCGGCATCGGGCCGGTGAGCAAGTACAACGTGAAGAAGACCAGCATTATCCTCGAGAGAGAGAAGGAGAATGCAAAGGCTTGCGACAAGGAGTATGCGAAACTTGGCCGTTGGGTCTCCGGGAACCCGTTCTCCTCTTTCAATGAGGCCTATGCTTGCATCCTTGCATATGAGGCGCCAGTCCTTCCTGATGCTGAGAAAGCGGCAAAGGAGCTGGGGATCCCCATCGTTCGATCTGACGCGCTGCTTCAACTCGTGGAATCGGTGAACGCACGAGTGACGGAAGTGAAGCAAAAGAAGCAGACGATGGCCGATCAGATGCTGATGGATGCTTGCACACATGGAACCCCTGAGGTATGCATATCAAAATGATTTGATAGATATCAAAACTGTCATCGAAGTTGGAGCGATCCTTTGTTGTCTTGTTCATCCTTTACCTAAGATTCTTGCGCCAACCCCCTGTGATATGCCGACATGACATTCTTGTCAGGCTATCGAATTCCTTCTGAAAAATGGTGCAAATGTCAACACGTGCAATCAGAAAGGAGATTCTGCTCTCCATGCAGCCGCGTCGAGCAGTAGCAGCGATGCTCTGAAACTTCTGGTTAAGAATGGAGCCAATATTCGAGCGGTCAACTCAAAAGGTACAAGAACCAACCCTGCGATTCTTCATTTGTGCGCTGACCAGGGGGTACAAGGAGAGAATCCCTTGCATATCGCCGCGCGATCCGGGGACATCAGCAGTGCTAAAAGTCTGTTGCGTGCAAAGGCGCAGGTTTTGCCTCCTTGAGCTCTTTCCTGAAATGATTGAACGATTCCAAGGTTCGCGAAGTTTGCAGTGAAGGCAAGACAGCACTGCATGAAGCTTGTTTGCATGGAACACCAGAGGTCAGTGGATGAGAGAACAAAGAAAGACTCCATAATGCTCTGTATGCAAACATCTGTTTTTGTGAGTTTTTGTTTTCAGCTTGTCAACCTGTTGATAGAACATAAAGCAAACGTCAATGCAGCTTCGGGATCAGGTGGGAAGAAGAGTCATGAAGACAACCAACGATTTTGACATCTTACATTCTAACAGGAATGTCATGCTTTGAATGTGCTCTTCGCCGCAAGGTTCCAAGACAACCAAGTGGAACCTGCCAGCTGACTAATGCAAATGAATACAGAACCTCAACATGATCGATCAACTGACCGACAACGGGCTCGACTTAAATCTAGTTGCTAAGGTGTCGAACTCTTCCCATCCATCAACCATCTCATCCTCCTCCTTGCAGGCTGCGGAAGGGCGAGGAGGAAAGTGGACAGCGCTGCACATAGCAGCTGAATGCGGCTCAATCAAGTTGTGCAAGGTGAACCTAACAAGGCCAGTCTCACAACATGACCCGCAAGTCAGGCTGTGATCAAGAGAGGACTTCGCTTCCAAGACCCTGAAGCAAAGAATGCAAAGAATCAGGTAAAGATTCCTTCCTTGCCTGAGGGATGGGTAATGGGCTGGCACATTGCAGACGGCGGCAGACGTGGCCAGGTCAAATCCGAGCTGCTCCGAGGAGCTCGTGAACTACCTTGAGGATCAGGTGAGCCTGTTCCCTCCGTTTGAGGCGTCAACTCAAGGATTCGACCTCAGCTGCCGCAGAAACGGAGATCGAGGTCCAACAACGCGAACTAATGCCCTCAAATCCGCAACGTATGATCATAGATGCGAAATCAGTCAAATACAACTTTCCTTTCAAGCTCTTCCTTCAATTCCCCATTCTCCCATCGCAAACGCACATACACTCGTCTAATTATGTTCCTCCTCTCTTCGTCGACAAGGAATGGTGAAGAACGAGAGAAGGTGAGAAGATTTCTATGTTGAATGAAAGTCGATCAAAGCTACAAGTTCGGTACTTCTGGTCATCCATCTTCCTGGTGCCCTTGGATCCTGCAAGCAATGCTGGGATGACGTTCAGAATTGTTGGCGATGCGGGAGGGGGTAGGGCAGCAGCAGCAGCAGCAGCAGCAGCAGCAGGAGGAGGAGGAGCAGCAGCAGCAGCAGCAGGAGGCACAGCAAGAGGCGCACCAGAAGCAGGAGGAGGAGGAGGAGGAGGAGGGAGACAAGAGGAGAACTGTACCAGTGGTTGATCGCTGAGAAAGGGGAGCAGGGTCGGGTGTGAGCTTGGGGGGATGAGCTCCAAGGAGCGAGTAAGGTATGTTGATGTGGGAGCGAGGATAGGCAGGAAGCTGGAGAGGGAGGAGGCAAAAAACAAGGATGAACAGAACTTCGCCGATCTGCACATGCGCCGGGTTGAACTACGCAGCAAGGGAGATGAGGAGCTTGCCAGGGCGAACGCGATGGTGCAGGAGTGCATGGAGATGCGGATGATGGACACTGTCCCCTACCTGCCGGGACAGTGGACGCTGCCGCTGCATGAGAGGATCATGCAGAGACTGGAAGAGGGTGGGAAGTCTCTCGATGCGGCAGAGAGCACGTACCAGCAGGCAGGAGCCAAGGACAAGCTGTCAAGTGTACAGCAAGTGCGGGAGACTCTGGCGGCTCTGGTGGTCAAGAACGAGAAGTTGAAGGAATGGCACGCAAGGCTGGAGGAGGCCGAGCGAGAGGTCCAGGAGGCTGCTCGGCTCGGGATGCCGTGGGGAGAGGAGAATTTCGTGCGAGCTAGGGAGAGGATGGAGGAGGCGAAGAGCCGCCTGAAGGAGGCGGGGGAGGATGGACTCGACGAGAGCACGGGAAGGCAGAAGCCGAAATCTTTGATCCTCAACAAGTTCGACCTTCGCCTGCTCAAAGTCAGGAGGGAGTGCGAGAGGAGGAGAGCTCGAGTTTCCCAGCACCTCCTCCAGTGCTCGAACCCGAACCCCGACAGGAGGAAGGTGGCTGTAGAGAGCCTGGCGGAAGTCGGCAGGAGGCCGGTGCCCTGTCGGGTGGACTTCTTCGGTAACCTTGAGGTCATGGTGGAGGAGAGCGAATGGAACAAGGGGGAGGGTAGAGGGGACGAGGAGGTAGTTCGGTCCGTTGTCAACGGCCTGGACGACCGTGACGGCCAAATCCGGCAAGCCGCCATGCAGACGCTGCCGTCGGTGTGCAAGGGGGAGGATGCTACGGTGATGGACAAGATCGCAGGGCTGCTGAGCGATCAATCGGTACATGTGAAGATGAAAGCGATGAAGATGGTGTCTTCGATCGCATATCACGACGTTGCTCGCGCGTTTCGGCTCTTGTGCGACATGCTGACAGATCCAGACGCGACGGTCAGGTAATCTGAGAATATCCTTCCCATCTCCCTCCTCCTCCTATCATCCCTTCTGATCGTTTCATTCTACTCTCTCCCTCCCCCTCCCCCTCCCCTCCTTCCTCACTTTCTCCCTCCCCCTCCTCCTCGTCTCCTCCCCTCCTTACCTCATCGCATCACAGAGGCTGCACCGTCAAGACCGTTGCACAGCTCCTGCAGGAGAGCAAAGACGAAGACAACAGGCTCTACCATCAGATCATCTCACATGCGCTCGCTTACGTCGACTGGAAGCCACGTGGGGAGAGAGGAGGAGATGAGGGACGAGGATCAGGAACAGGACATGGCGGTAACCCCAGCTGCAACTCCAACTGGGTCACGGAAGAGAGGGACGTGATCCTTTCTGCTCTGGAGCTCCTGGCTCAAGTGGCTCGGAAAGGGGACGAGGAGGTGACGAGGAGGATGCTCTCCCTGCTGGAGGTCAGCTGGGAAAGGCTGCTCAGAGAGCACACGTCGCATGCTCGGGACGCATCCCAGCCGCACTTGGGGTTGGGGGAGGATTGGATGCAGTCTCGAGGGCCGGTGAGCCTGCGAGCCCAGCTGAACGCGTTGGACAGACTTCCTGCTGCCAGCTGCCGGGCGAGGAGAGGAGTAACGGCAGCAGAGGTCCGGCTGCAGGCCATCCAGGTGCTGGCCAGGGTGGCGATGAGCTCGAAGGAAGTGAGGGAAGAGGCAGAGAGGCTGGAGAGGGAGGAGGAAGCAGGAGGAGATGGGGCGCAGGAGCAGCAGAGGCGGCACGCGGCCCGAGCTCGTTCCTTCGGCAACTTCGTGCGGCACTCGCTGGTGGTGGAGGGACTGATCAGGAGGCTGGAGGAGTACAACCGAGACATCAGGTGGCTGGCAGCTCAGACTCTGGTGGAACGACTGTGTGATCAGGACGACCCGCTGCTTCTGGACGCGATCGTTGACTGTGTAGAGCACATGGAGCCAGAAGTCCAGAGGCTCGGGGTGGAGCTGGTGGGAGGAGGGTCAGTGACAGCTTGCGTGTCAAGGGGGAACAGGGACTTGACAGCAGCCATGTGCGAGGTGATAGCAAGGAACGCTCGGGCGAGGCAGGTAGCAGCAGATGTCTTGCTGGCGAACTGCTCGGGGCAGGACGACTTTGCGGTGGAGCAGCTGGTTGGTCTGCTGTCGGATCAGGACTTTGCGGTGAGGGAGATAGCGATGAGTCTGCTGAAGAGATTGCTGGGGAAGGGGGATGGGAAGAGGCTGAAGATGATAGAGGAAGGATGCCACCATGAGTCTACAGAGGTATGCTTCCTCTGATTCTCCTCCTCTTCCTCCTCTCCTTCCCTGGCCCTCCATCCTCTCCCTACTATCAATCCTCCTCCTCCTCCTCCTCCTCCTCCTCCTATCCGTGTCTTACCCTTCATTCCTTCCTCCCTTCTATCTCGTCTGACTTTCATCCTTGTGCTTCCCCAGGTTCGCATCGCCGCCCTGCACGCGCTGACGGAGTTTTCCGACCGCGACGACAACGTCACTTGCTCCATCCTACAGCACTCGCTCAACGATCGCGACGAGGGCGTTAGATGCGCCGCTGCTCGCTCCCTCTCCCTCCTTGCCGACCGGGGGAGCTCGCGATCAATCGGGGCGCTGCTGTCAGGGTGCCGAGACGCTGCCGTCAGCGTCAGGCTGGCATCGGTGGATGCTCTCTCCCGCGTCTCCCTGCGCAACGATGCTGCGGTGGTCGACATGCTGCTGGAAATGCTCGACGACCCGGAGGAGATGATACGGGACAAGGTCCTCGAAGTGATCGACAGGGTCGTTGACGGAGACAACCAGCAGCTCTCCTCGAAGCTGCTCTGCATGGTAGCGGGGAACCAAGAGGATGCGGCCAAGGTGCTCGGGGCGCTCGAGAGATGCTCTGTGGGGCAGTCAGAGACTCACTACGCCAACCCCCTCTTCTTCCACACGGCGAGCTTCAAGGACACCTCATCGCAGTACACTATCAAGACATGGACAGCTCCTCAAAGGTGTTTGACTTCATTCCCCTCTCCTCCCTCCTTCTCCCTTCTCCCTCCTCCCTCCTCCCTCCTTCCTTTCCTTCCTCTTTCCCCAGCTCCTCCCCCTCTCCTGTTCTTCTTCTATCCCTTTCCTATTTCCTCCTCTCCTCTCCTCTCCTCTCCCCTCCCCTCCTCTCCCCTCCATGATTGCTGCATGAAGGGAAAAAACGGCAGCACTGAGAACAGGGCTGATGAATCATCCTCGAACAGCGGGAGGTGAATTTGTCGCTCGAAACTTCAAATTGGTGAGGATATTTTCCAGTTATCTCTCAAGTTCGGTGGGAAGATCGTCCAGCGTCGACGGGAAGGGAAGGAGTTCTTTTCCACCTCCAGTCTAATCACCTCCCGGATTCTCGGCCGAGTACCAGATCGAGGTGCGGAGGAGGAGGAGGCGAAGAGGCGAAGAGGCGAAGCAGGAGGAGGAGGAGGAGGAGGAGGAGGAGGAGGAGGTAGAGGCGAAGCGAAGAGGAGGACGATGAAGAAGAGGAGGAGGAGGAGGAGGTAGAGGACGAAGCAAGGAGGAGGAGGAGGAGGAGGAGGAAGAGGAGGATGAGGA